GCACTGGGTGTTATGCACAAACAATGAATCATGGAACACTACATCTAAAACTAATGATGTAATGTATGGGGATTAACATAAGAATAAAAAAAAGAAAAAATAAAATAAAATAAAATAACACACACACAAAAAAAGGGTTTCAAATAAAAAAAAAATTCCTATGCCTTCTCTTAACTGATTTATATTGTCTTCAAAAATAAACAAACCATAATTCATAGCTTCAGTTTTTCTTTTACTGTAAAAGGCCCCAAAGACTACTCTGTTTTGTTTTATTTTAGAAGTCTCGTATATCCTCTCTAGAATTTCTTTCTCCTCCTTGCTGTCAGACTGTCAGCAGCCATTGCTCACTGTCACCTTCTCCCTGTCCTGTCATTTCCATTTTGCCACATACCCACCATTCACTGGGACACAAGTTAAACTAGTTAAAACAGTGTCTAAAGTAAGAGTTAATACCTCTAGGAGAGTGGCTTTTCCATGAGTAAGAGTAGGATCTTCACTGTATTTGCTGTATAATATATATTTTGGCTGCTCAGATAATTTTACACACTCTTTCAGCTTCTCAATAAGTGAGAAAGGTCACTAAGGAAGGGAAGGGCTGAGCTCCGGACACAGATCTCAGTAACGCAGTCAGAGAGATGACGGGGAAGCACGGAGGAGAGCTGAGAGAGGAAGGCAGCCGGGAAGACAGTGAGCCGTCGCTGACTGGGACAGGATGAGCAGGGACTGGATGGGCAAACAAGGAAGGAGTCGGAAACCAGGCAAGATAGACCCACAGGCAGGAAAAACCAGGATAGGAGGCAACAGGCTAAAGGCAAGGAAGACCATTACCCGTAGAACATCACTAGCAGTTGGGTGTAAAATGGACATCAGTTTGGGGCAGAGAGAGAGAGATAAGATGTTGCCACCCAGGAAAACTGAGGCCAAATCCTGTGCAGCCTTGTGTGCCAGGGGAAGGAGCTCACATGCCCTTCCAGGGGCTACCGGTGGTTTTTAAACCAGGGAAGCAAATGCCAGCTCTGAGTTTCAGATTTATCACTGTAGTGTCTATGTCGATGCAGAGACACCAATTAAGAAGGAACTAACAATAGTCCTAACAAAAAATAGCAAGGGCTTAAAGTAAGGCAGTAATATTAGTAGTGATTTTTAAATATTCAAAATATACATACTTGAAAGATGGTAAGGGACTAGATCTTAAAAGTTCTCATCACAAAGAAATATAATTTGTAACTGTGTGTGGTGATGGGTATTAACTAGACTTATTGTGGTAATCAGTTTGCAATCTATACATACATCAAATCATTATGTTGTATACCTTATACTTCTACAACGTTATATGTCAATTATATCTCAATAAAACTGGAGAAAAGGGGAAATATCTAGCAGAGCATACCTGATGAGATTTCTTTGTCAGCAACTTATCACTGGGTTGAAAAAATTAATTTGCTTCTTTTTAATAGCATTTGTCAGTTAACAGATTCCTGAGCGCAATTCATACCTGTAACACTCAGCAATAAAGTAAAACACCACAGGTTGCCACACACACACACACACACACACACACACACACACACACACACACACTGTAAGATAATTGATAATAGAAAAAAATGAGAAAAAAAGAGCTGGAAGAAAAAAGTCATTTAGAAAAGTCATGCAGAGAAGTACTTTCTGAAATAGTTACTTAAAAGTAGAGATGGATCCGTTTTGCTGTGCCTCTATGCACAGTACACACAGCATACTCAATAAATAACTGCTTATTAAATGGAATAAAAAAACCATTATGTCATTTCTCCCTGCCCTCTCCCCTCCGACAGTGAGTACTTCACGTAGCATCACCCAAGACAACTAATGTTCAAATGCTCTCTAGTTCTGATAGCAGCTCTACATAATTCATGGTAAATAACAAAAGTATAAAAGCTATTATGGATAATTTTCTTTCATTTACCTTTAACAGCAGGTAAAATCAGCCAGCACTGAAGAAAGCAGTATCAGGAAAGGAGGAAAGTATAAAAATTGCTAATCATAAAAAACCAAAAACCAAGAAAATCATTAAGTTAAATTGATGACTTTTTTTTCTTGCCCCCCAATATAGTATTTGAAATGGGGCTTAGAAACATACCAAATGTAACAGCAAAATAAGAATGCAAAAAAGCAATATTATCATACCCCTTAAACTGACTAGCCACCAAGAAGGAAAATTTATAGCAAAGTGAAGCTTTGATGATACAATAATACTTTTTTACTGTGATGAAGTAACTTATTATAAAAATGTTGCCTCTGTTCTCTGGAAAGTACTGGGGAAGCAAGGAGCCAAGGAACGCAGATTTAAGGTGGACTTTAAATTGGGTAAGGTGAGACGAGTGAACTTATTTTTCCTCCGAGCTTGACAACAGCAACTGTAATAGTGCATTCTTTCTTGGTGTATTGAGTTGAAATGTTCTGACTTTCCAGGCCCTCTGCAATCTGAACCAGACAGCACGTACAAGCCCCTCATTCCCGCCTCCTGCCCAGGCACACAGCCGCTTTGCTCGTCCCTGCTGCTGTGATGATCTTGTCTCAGTGTGGTCTTCCCTCCTCCCTGAACCTGCTCACTGCCCAAGCATTCCCACAGGTGCTCAGCTCATGCACGCATTCATTCAGCAACTGTGCAGTAAGCACCTACTACGTGTGCATGTGTACGCCGTGTGCAAGTATGTGTGTGTGTATATGTATAATACGTATATAACAGAATCCTCAGAAGAAAGACTTCTTCAAAGCCAAGAAAATCAATTACGAGGGATTTGCAGACTGTGAGGTTTGTGGAAAGGTAGAAGCCCATTAATGACTTAAGTCACCAGTAGGCTGACTGGAAAGACAATGATGCTACCAGCAGAAAATAAACATGAATGCTAGAAAAGATAATAAATATGCTGTGTGTGTGTGTGTGTGTGTGTTGTGTATGTACACAGACACACATAAAGCTAGGCTTAGAGGGTTAAGAACATCATGATCTTGATGGGAAATTCATTCAGATTGAAGTAAGGCTACTCTGACAGAGGCTGAGAAGGAAAACGGCTGCTTGTCCAAATGTCTGTTTCAGTTTTGGCTACAGTCAAAGAAAGCATTTTTCAACCGTACTTTCCTTACAAGTACTAAATGCTCATGAATTATGCTGCTGGACACAACATGAGGCAGTCTTTCAGGTCTGCCTTCACTATGTGAAGTGAATGATGAGAAAATATTTGGAATGGCATGTTTGTTTTTAAAAATGCATCAGAATGCTTTTATTGCCCACAGTGAAAAATCATAATAAAGATCTATGTTGGCCCCAAATTCATCTCTTAAATTTACTGTGTGATTTACTGCTATTTGCTAAGAAGGTAGTTACTGTTTCAATTTTCAGCCAAAGTACATAAATAGTACACGAATAGGTTAATTTTCAATTAAATAAATTCTGTTGTCTGCTTGTAAAAGAAAGGTGTTTTACTTTAGTGCCTTATTTTAAAAAGTAATCTGAAAAAAACAGAAGCTTAAAAAAACTTTGATTATTTATATACTTATATATATTGTATTTTAAAAACCACTCCTTTAGTTGCAATCATTTGTCATGTTATTTGTTTGAATATAAGAAATACAAATTTTTCTTTCTCAAAGAAATTACTTTTAGTTACAGTATGCCTTTTACTAAATCTATTTGCAGTTAATTTCCTTTTAAAATAAGGATATTGATGTATACAGTCATCTCATTTTTAATGTAAAAACCCAGGTATTTATTAAATAATGGCATATTTGATTAAACTAACACTCAGAAGAAAAATTTTAATATTAGATCCTGAAATACTGGAAGGAAATTTCCTACTTGATTTCGGGATTCTGTTCCCCTCACATGTGTTTTTATGACGTACGAAAGAAACCAATCTCACCTGTTTTTGATTGTAGGTTTCTTCTTGGTTCTTCAGGGGCCTCAATTGGCTGATCAGCCAGGAAAACTCGAGCTTGGTCTATAGCATTTAGAACAGAATACTCCTTGTCCTTTAACTCTCGTCTCAGGGCCTTTGCAAAGAGAAGCAAAAGTTGAATTTGTAACCTACTGTGTTCACCAAGTGAGTGAAACATCTTCAGTTAGACTATGGACCATAGTTGTCAAGGGAATGACTAATAACCATTTAAGCAAAGTCGGAAGTGAAAATATTAATTTTATACATATGAATGATGAAACATGAATAAAAGCAAAAAGATGATAGGACTTAAAGATGCAAAACAAAAATCTTTACAATATTCACCTAAGGGAAATTGTTATAGTATATTTGAGCTTACACAAACTGTACTTTTAGGGTTATCACTCCTGTCAGATTACTAAAACAGAACAGCCTGTTCAAAGATACCTTTTTCTTATAAGACTGACAAAAAAAAATTACATCCAATAGTACAGAAGCAGGCAATTTCACAAGTAGTAATGAGATCCTCAGAAGTGTTTTACATTCTTTAGAATATATTAAGGAAAAAAGCTAAGAGATGGAAACAAATTAAAGTACATGAAATCAAAACTAAACCAAAGAGAACACATAAAAGACAGTCTCCAATTATCTTCAAATACGTTCCATCTCTCATGCTGAGGCAATTACAGTTTTTCCCTTGTGAGGTTTTTCATGCAAATTTATGATTCTCAGAACAGTCTGCCTTTAGTACTTTTGTTCTTTTAAGTAGGGTTAAACTTTCACCTTTGCTCCCATAAAATGTTTGGTGATTAAGACTCTAATTGACTAGAGTTTAAAAACAAAGCTCACTCACTGACTATTGCTGAAAGAGGAAATGAAGATTTTCTCATGTGCTATTTGAATGCTGGAGCGAAACCAAAATTGTTGCTAATATTACTGTTATCCTCTTAAAATTATACACATAAACACCTCCGGGCTCTAATATTTTGCTTAGGTGCAGTTACCTGATAATGCATTATGAAAACTCCGGTTTTTGCTTTCTAAAATATTGTATTCTAGTACTTTTTAGAATCAATATAATTTTTGTTTCTGAACACAACTATTTTTTTTTTTAAATAGCATTTGGTGTAACTATGTTGGGATGACAGGGCTAACTCCTCATCCACGGTAAATAAAAGAAAAAAAAAATCTAGGAACACCAGAATAATCATCTGATGTGAAAACCAGAGCTAAACACCAGAAAAACATCAGTAATGAATTTGTTTTATTTTTTGGTAAAAATTTTATTTATTTATTTTAGAGAGACAGAGAGTGCGAGTGAGCGGGGCAGGGGAGGTGCAGAGGGAGAGAGAGAATCTCCAGCAGACCCTGCTGAACACGAGCCCACGGGGCTCCATCCCAGGACCCTGAAATCATGACCTGAGCCGAAATCAAGTGAGATGCTCAACCAACTGAGCTACCTAGGTGCCCCACCGGTAATGAATTTAAAAGAGAACATTACTGGTGGGGAAGGGTGAGGGGAGATGAATGACAGAATAGAACATTGGTTTTTGCAATAAGCACTGTAAATACAATTTGACTATTTACAATTATTATCTTGACAAAAAATTTAAAAGGATAAAGTGAACAATAGCAAAAAAGCACCATTCTCTAAAATCCATGGATAAATTTATAGCATCTACATAACCAGACTGTGAAGCAAGCACAAATCAGTAAATCCCCACATCAGTTAGCACCTGTGAGCATCAAATGACTATGTGACAAAACATTCACCATCTCTATCGAGAAATGTGGCTTGTGAAGAAGTCCCAAGGTGTGACATTCAAGACAAATAAGACGATCTTCTGACATTTAAAGTTTCTGACACGTGGAAACAGAAAGAGACATAAGAGAAACGGGGAAATACATTTTAATCCAGAAATATATACACACATTTCCAGGTCTTGAGCCTATTCTTTATTTTTTTAAATTTTTTTTAAAGATTTTATTTATTTATTTGACAGAGAGAGAGACAGCGAGAGAGGGAACACAAGCAGGGGGAGTGGGAGAGGAAGAAGCAGGCTCCCCGCTGAGCAGAGAGTCCAATGCGGGGCTCAATCCCAGGACCCTGGGATGATGACCTGAGCTGAAGGCAGACGCTTAACACTGAGTCACCCAGGCACCCCTTGAGCCTATTCTTTAAATTTAGATTATTGTGTTGTTACAGCAAGAAGCTCCAGATTGATGAAAATACTCCTAGTATTTACTTCCCAAAGCACCTGGAAATATAAAATATAAAATAATGATACGAAAGAGTATGTTGCTTAAAAGCCAGCACTGAAAAACAGTGGGTAATGTAGCAGATTTATAAAAATTTTAGTGATCCAGAGTATTTATTCCCCCTAAACCCAAATCTAACCAGTAAATGTGGGAGAGGTAAAGATTCTTAAAATAATGTGCAAGGGCTGTGCTAGATTTCTTCTTTTCGAAAGTGAAGTCCCAGACATGAACCTATTTAACTCAAGCTGCTAAAAGGAAAGTGAAGGAATCCGAAGAACACCTCCTCCTTCTGGTTGATCAAACAGGATGAGGATTCACGGGCAGTATTTACAGACTTGGCACAAAAGGGAAACCAGGAAACACCATCTAGGTGATGATGGGGAAAGAAATTAAAAACTGAGAGAAGACAGAGCATAAAGGAATGTGACTTAGAGAAGGGAGCACAGAAGCAGTACTGTTCCTCTGGAAACACACAATGATTACGGGGCATATATTTCACAGAGGGTGAATCCTGATCTCATGGAGGAGAAAGAAGATAATAGGATTCGTATGATTTAGGTGTACAGTAGTGCCCAACTGCGAGTTCTGGATTATTATGAGTCCACAAAATGTGCATTGGCTAGGGGGCTGGGGAACGGAAATAGCATCGGAGAGATTTTTGTTAAAACTATTTTTAGACAGGGCACCTGGGTGGCTCAACCATTAAGCGTCTGCCTTCAGCTCAGGTCATGATCCCAGGACGCTGGGATCCAGCCCCGCATCGGGCTCCCTGCTCCGCGGGAAGCCTGCTTCTCCCTCTCTCACTCTCCCTGCTTGCGTTCCCTCTCTCGCTGTGTCTCTTTCTGTCAAATAAATAAATAAAATCTTAAAAAAACAAACTATTTTTAGAATTTCAAACATCCAAATGGAAATATATATTTGTCTACAGAAAGGATACTTGGGAACACTAGCCAGTCAACTTCCCTGATGGCTGGAATTTTACTAATTTAACCCAAATGCTCTTGTGATAGGAGATTTCACTGGCTGGCTGTTTACTCTGCCTGGAAGGCTCTCTCCCCAGATATCCACATGGCATATTCCTCCTCCCAAGAGGCCTTCTCAATGAGGCCCACCCACCCATGCTATTTAATGTAGAATTCCACCTCTCCCATCCGCTACATTTCCCATCACCTTCTACTAGGCAAAGTAGGTATTTAGTTATTATGGTTATTGTTTCTTATCTTTTTTTTTTTTTCTATCTGTTTCCCTCAGATAAAAGATAAGCTCTACAAGGCCAAGGACATTTTCTGGGTTTTTTTGTTTGTTTGCTTTTTGCTTTTCACTGTGGTAAACTAGGCACCCAACATCAGCGCTTTGGGACCTGGTAGAGCTAGGGGGCTCGGAAATGCTTCCTCATGGAGGTGGTGTCTAAATGGAGTCTTGTAGAGAGAGAATAATATTTCCAAAAGAGGAAACTAAGCACTAGCAGAAGAGCAAGGCAGTATGACCGTGTGCGCACTTAGGGAACTATAAACGCTTAGTGAAGAGCCGAGGAGGTATCAGGTCACAAAAACCACTGTATGATGTCCTAACGGAGCATGAGACAACCAATAATGGGCACTGGGAAGCCACTGAAGAGCTAGACAAGATAGTAGGGGGCTATGACTGTCCAATTCACATTCCTGTTTTTTTTACAGTATCATTGTCAGGTCTCCCAGATTCATGAAAAACAAATCTGAGTCTGAGAATGCCCTACAGGACTGGAGAATCTATTTTCCTTCCTAACCACATGAAACTTCAGCACTTTTGAAACCAGTCTCTCTGCATAGGGCACTGGCAGGGGAATGTCTGATTAACTCCTTCGATATGCCAAGGGAGGGAAGTAGAAGAGGCGAGTGTGGGCAGGTGGGAACCATGCCAAGTAAGTAAAAATGTGGGGCTCAAGCCCTAATGCCAACTCACCACCCAAATATCCTAGAGAAGAGCATACATTTAATAATACCTGTTCATATGATATTTTGCAAATTTAATTTTATTATTCAATTTGTCCTATTTCAATTACATTTAATTTCATGTCAGAAATGGGTTTAACTTTCAACAGTATTATACATATAATCATTTCACCACCCTTTACCTCTCAATTAGACATAAAAGAAAACCAGCATTTCCTAACCACCTGGTGAACATTAATGATAAGATAATTAGACCTTAACAGAGTTGTTTTGTATACAGAGCTACAAAGTGGCATTCAGCTTTAGGTTCTAATATCACATGACTTCTACATGGGCTGCCTAAAGTGAGTATAACATAATATAATAGGAATTTTTCTATTTTAATGACTTTATATTTTCATTCAAAACAATTCTGTTCTCAGGCAATAACAAGTATTGCCAACGAAGTGAAAAAGTTGGAACCTTTTATACTGCTGGTGGAATGATAAAATGGTGCAGCCACTTTGAAAAACAATTCAGCAGTTTCTTAAAATGTTAAACATAGAGTTACCACATAACCCAGCAATTCAACTTCTAGGTACATACTCAAGAGAACTGAAAGTACATGTCTACATAAAAACTTGTATATGAATGTTCATATCAATATTATTCATGATCGCCAAAATGTGGACACAACCCAAACATCAACTGGTGAACAGATAAACAAAATGTTGTATAGCCATATAATGAAAGTCTTATTCAGCAGTAAAACTGAATGAAATACTACGATCCATGCTACAACACGGAGGAACTTTGAACATGTTATGCTAAGTGAAAGAAGCCAGACACAGAAGCCCATTACTATGAAATGCCCAAAGGGATAAGGGTATAGATACACATGGTAGAACAGTGGTTGCTTAGGGCTGGATGGTTTGGGGAAGAATGG